GGTCTTTAAAACAAAAGGTCCGCAAATTTGTTGCATTCCTCATGGGAGTTTAGGGCTGCCTTCACTGTGTTCGAGCTGCAAAATTGGACACGCTGGTTGACAAAAATCTCTCGAAACGCAAAAATAACTTCTAAAAAACAAAAGGTCCTCAAAAGCGTTGTATTCCTCGCGGGAGAAAAGGACCGGCTCAATGTAAATGGAACCGCGAAGAACACGCTGGTCCTGATAAACGTTTTAAATAATACAAACCTATTCCTTGATTACCAACCGCATTAAATTCAATTTACAAGGGAAAATATAACATTGAAAACCCTGGTTCTGAGAGGAGAGCGAACACGCTATCTCAATGTAAATCGAACTGCGAAGAACAAGCTGGTTCTGACAAAAACTGGAGCGTAAAACTCTATTCCTTGATGAGCTGCTGCTTTAAACGCAGGTTATAAAGCATATCAGAGCACTAATAGCAATTTCAAATCTAGAAATCGTATTCAAGCTTGCTCACCTGTTAGGGCCTGTTGAACAGAAAACAAACAGATGCAGACGAGATCACCCAATGTTCCAACCAGGGAGTTGTAAATACAAGATCATGACGTCACTGCCCAAATATGGGGTCTTACTTACACCCAAATATGGTCAAAAATGCAAGTTTTAGAGGGTTATGCAAAATTTGATACATTGAGCGGGATTATGAATCTGCCGCCGAGGCAACCTCGCTTCTTAGCTCGGTTTTTTGGCTATAACTGATCACCATTCTGTACAACGATCTCACTAGTAAACTTTTGCTAGTCGGTTTAATTCTTTTACAAGGAGTCACTAGGCCAACTCTTTTTGCGTTGGGATATTGAAACAATAAAAAAGAAGTAATCTCAGATGGTCCTTTTAGTGTAGGAAACATCATGACTGTGGTTTCAGTTTTTCGCAACTAGGTCTTAACTAAAGTTAGGAAACATCTTAAGAAACTAATTTTGGTTTGAGAATAGATATTCGCTATTAGAAAAGTAATTACCTCCTTAATTGGTGTTTGTAGCTGCGATATTGAAACAATAGGTCTTTTGAGTAAGGAGCTTTCTTTGTCTTTGTGGCACGTTCCCTCACATGTCTACTCCGAAGCTTGCATAATGATTAGTCTTTCTGATCTCATTAAAATCTTGTTGAAGCTAGACGTGTCCTAACACCTTTAAAGTTCTTTGCACTCAGTCGTAGCATTCTGAGCCAAATTTTACTTGCTTTTCCAACTGTAAACTGGAATCTGTTCCACAGAATCCTAGGAAAACTTAGTCATCACAACTAACGGTTNTTCAAATCTAGAAATCGTATTCAAGCTTGCTCACCTGTTAGGGCCTGTTGAACAGAAAACAAACAGATGCAGACGAGATCACCCAATGTTCCAACCAGGGAGTTGTAAATACAAGATCATGACGTCACTGCCCAAATATGGGGTCTTACTTACACCCAAATATGGTCAAAAATGCAAGTTTTAGAGGGTTATGCAAAATTTGATACATTGAGCGGGATTATGAATCTGCCGCCGAGGCAACCTCGCTTCTTAGCTCGGTTTTTTGGCTATAACTGATCACCATTCTGTACAACGATCTCACTAGTAAACTTTTGCTAGTCGGTTTAATTCTTTTACAAGGAGTCACTAGGCCAACTCTTTTTGTGTTGGGATATTGAAACAATAAAAAAGAAGTAATCTCAGATGGTCCTTTTAGTGTAGGAAACATCATGACTGTGGTTTCAGTTTTTCGCAACTAGGTCTTAACTAAAGTTAGGAAACATCTTAAGAAACTAATTTTGGTTTGAGAATAGATATTCGCTATTAGAAAAGTAATTACCTCCTTAATTGGTGTTTGTAGCTGCGATATTGAAACAATAGGTCTTTTGAGTAAGGAGCTTTCTTTGTCTTTGTGGCACGTTCCCTCACATGTCTACTCCGAAGCTTGCATAATGATTAGTCTTTCTGATCTCATTAAAATCTTGTTGAAGCTAGACGTGTCCTAACACCTTTAAAGTTCTTTGCACTCAGTCGTAGCATTCTGAGCCAAATTTTACTTGCTTTTCCAACTGTAAACTGGAATCTGTTCCACAGAATCCTAGGAAAACTTAGTCATCACAACTAACGGTTTTGATAGTTGTGTCGGGTTGGTCATAACGTTATCGAGGCGATATATTTTTACAAATTCCGCCAAGTGTAGCCTTACTTAGCTGGATTTCAATTTCTTTTGTTAGCAAACTCATATCACGGGCAGACATCTATTTTGTGCATAAGATACTATTGATCCTTTTTTTAAAAAAAAAAACACAATTAACTTAATTGTTGAGTATAAGTATAACTGCTTTGTAAAGGGAAGGTATCAAAAAAAAAAAACAGCTTAGTACTCGCTGGAGAACTAAGAAGCTCAGTCATAAACCGCGTTCAACTCAACTTCTTGTTTTCTTGGACGCCCTACAAAATCTGTACTCCGACAACACCTTACGTGCATGCCATACTGTTCGTAGAGATATTCGACAGAACATATCAAATAGAGTACTGTATTAACATCATCATCATCATCATCATCATCATCATCATCATCATCATCATCATCATCATCATCATCATCATCATCGTCATCATCATCATCATCATTATCATCATCATTATCATGTCCTTTATTTTAAGACGATAGGATTTAAAACTCAATGTTTGTGGGGTAGTGTGAAAATAATTACAAAGACCTGTCATAAAAATAAAGATCAAATTGCTTACAAAAATATATACAACTACAATAAAAACTCCAAAAAGATGAAATAAGATTCTAAAAAGATATGATGTAAAAAATTGAAATTAATTTACACTAGCTACCTGTAAGTAATTGACTACACCTCATTTAAAACATACGAGTATGTTTCTACACATAAACAAGACAATTTAATACGTTTAGGTTCGTACAATATGAAAGTAAACATGATCTTCATAGTAGAATGAACAACCTAAGCGGTTAAAAATTAACCTGAAAAAATTCAGACTTGACCAGGAATCTAACCCTGGGCTTTGCAATGAGCGGACGCAACGCTCTATCCACTCAAGCTAACTGGACAGCTTGTCATAGTGATTTCGTAATATACCCAGTGGTGGACATTACTTGATTTGAAACATTACTTTTTGATGCAGAAGTTAATATCCAAGAACTCATAATTACGGCGGATATCCCGTTATTTCTTCTTTAAATATTTATTATATTACAATTTATGGCCTGGTGCTACATCCTTAGGCCTAATTGTGCTCGAAAAGAAAACTTACATTGAACACATTAAACAACAGCGCTAGCAAAACCAGACAGTTGCTTCCGAAGAAAGTGACTACGATTAAAGATGAAATAAAAAATAGGATAATTCTATTTTTGATAGAAAGTAAATGCTGAGTTTAGTTAGCCAGTGTTTGAAAAAACCGTGTTCTAAGCTGTATTCAGTTTGCCCAAAGCTTTTAAGGTTTCTTTCACTCTAAAGAAACCGTTGTACAAAGAATATTGATCGATAACTTGCCATGCGGCAGAGATCTTCCAAAAAAAAACGCAAAACAGTACTCCACGCACATTATTAGGGAGCTTAAGCAACAACTACGGCGACGGCTACGGCTACGAAAACGTTAAAACTTTATCTCGCTTATTTCAGGGCTGTATCAAAGTTGAGCAATAGAAAAAGAAAAATGTTGTCTTGTACTGTGTTCCCGTCCGCGACAGAGCGTGAAATTAGGCACTTTCACGTTGTAGTCGTGCAACGACGGCTGAGAAATGTACAAAAAAGCGTGTTGCACGTGCAAAGTTATTATTTTGCTAATCTACCCTATTGCGTTTTTGCCGTTCTCGTTGCCGTCCCCGTCGTCGTTGCTTAAGCTACCTATTGTTTGGTACAGAGCTGCATGATATGCCTATTAAGGTGTCGGTTGATATCAAGGATTTTAATTATTACAATTTACGCTCTCTGAGTGGCACTTCGGGTCTTAAATACAAAGGGAAAAACTCCAATAAGGATGGATGAGTTTGAATCGTCCAACACGTTCAATCCATCTGCTTCAGTTGGATAATTAATAGAACGCCTGAAAATCGTCTCCCGGACAAACGTCGATCTTTGATCAGTAAGCTTCCCTCATTTCACATTGAATTACTCTTTTTAGGGCTTTTAGTCGCGCTTAACTTTTGTTTTATTCCGATGCCGTCTAACCCATCCGTTTTTTCCTGATCCGATTCCTGAAAGGCCGATTAGCGCTAATCCAGGATTAAAATTTTGTTCCGTTTTTGTATTTTACATTCCTATGCATTGCTTGGAGTAAAATTTTGTGTTCTCATTATTGCATCTCGGAGTAAAGCGGGCTGAAGAGTATTTTGTAAGCTCGAGTTGCATTTTCCTAGACAAGAAAACCTTGCTTAAAAATTTGGCTTAATTTTGGATTAAGCTTAACCATCTGTCGAGGAACCGGGCCCTGATGGACAGGTTATTCCTTTTACGTTTCAATTTTCGAATTTGTGGAGTGACTCATGTTAGATTACCTCTAAGTTTTTTCCTTCTATTGGGCTTACATGTGTTCTAAGGCACTGGGCAAAACTCCAAGCTTGGAGGAGGCCTTCCTACTTTGCAGTTCTCCTCTCGGCTTGTTTAGTTTCTCCTGTTCTCCAAGCTTATTTAAAAGAAACTTTTAAGTCGCGGAGCACCAGTCTCTGTATGTTATGCACGCCTTTCCGTTTCAGATTTTCACCGAGTTCGTCAGTACACAGGGCTGCAAGTATAGAGTGTCCCTGATTTTCATCCACGATGAATTTACGCTCCCCATAACATGAAACGTTGTCTGTTAACCAGTCTTTAACTGACTTGTGAATGACGTAAAGACAATCATCACGGATTGGGATTAGTGCAGACACACTGCCCAAGGCGTTCAGTGTTTTACGTTTTGTTAGTGGTGAATCCGTACCTGGTACTAATACTTTAGAAACATCAATAAGTACTAGTCCATACGAGTGCATTTAAACTCGTCTTGGAAGATTATCCTTCCAATAAAAGTATTTTTGGCTGAAGAAAAGGACATGTTCTTTTTTGTCGCTATCAAACGTTGGCTTCTCCAAGCATTCCCAGCATTTCAAGGTGTAGTTTCTTATATTTGGCCACTCACGGCGGGTGATTTGACAAAGATGTTGTCGAGGGTTCCTCGAAATAAACTCTATGGCTTTGCCATAGGCCTGTTTGCGTTTCAATCCTGTTTTCTGCTCAAATACCAACTCATCACAGATCACAGAACGACCTGAGAAATAGCTATGCTGTAACCAAAACATAAATAAATGAATAAACAAATAAGTAAATAAATAAATACGCATTATATATGCCAAATTTATATAACAACTGTAGCATTTTTCTTCACTGGACGTGATTTTTTGGAAGTGAAAGTTGAGTCCATTAAAACTTTAACTTGGCAAATAAGAAAAAGTGATCCGGCTAATGTTGTCATATAATCTGTTAAATGAACTAGGAAGGCTATTTCAAAGAACTTAATTTGGTTTGACTGACTGCAAATAATAATCTTACTTTTTCTTTGAGGTGGGTGTCCTTAATACGCTGTAACTCTTTTCTGGAATCTTTCATCTCTTGTGCTTTTTCTCTTTTTTCTTTTTGTTCATGCCACTTGATCTTTCTTTCATTTTCGTCTGAATTCCACGTATTTTGAAGGATTTGAGCAGCTTCCTCAAAAACGCCTCCAAGATCTTTAACCAACTCCCACACCGGTTTAATGTTGTTACCACGGTCAATCAAAGCCCAATTTGAATTGTAGGAGAGTAGCTTGTGGAAGGTTGCAGGATTTGCTGGTGGTCCCATGGAAGCTTTGGAATAGGAAAAACACATCTCATTGTTTTCTTCTTTGTGCTTCACCTTCACACTCTTACTGCTAACTACATTTCCTCCAATTCCAAATGTGTCACTGAGAAAACGAAGAGACATTTGACCTTCAAGATGATTTTTGGCAGTCTTTTGTAATGTTACTTCGTCTATGTTGCTTAAGCTTTCGACATCTGCAATGGTGAAGAAAATACCACCTAGAGTTTGGGTTCCTGTCGGAAAATGGCTTCCATATCGTTTTAAGAAGTCGCGAGCGGCATTATTTACAAGCTCATCGTCACTGTCATCATTTGCCTTTTGTACGAGGCGCATTGCGTCTTCTGTACATGCTGAAGAAAGTCGTATATCTTTCAGATCAAAGCGAAAGGTTTTTTGGTTGATTCGAGAGAAATATAGTGCGGATGCACTGGTTTTACACGATTTAAAATTGTTAGAGATTTGGCTTTGTTTTTGAATTCCTGCACCAGCCGTCACAGATGGCATGCCATTCCAACCAGAAGCGCACAAATTAGTCCTGCAGCTTAACTTTGTTAACTTTTCGACGTAATTGGAAGCTAATCCCTTCGTGCAGAATGATATACATCTCAAACCCTCCTTTTTCTCAGGATTGGTAAAATTTACGTTTGTAGGCTCCCGGAGAAGTTGAGAATCTGTGTGTTGTGGCGTTTGGTACTCAGAATGATAGAGACCACAAAGGGCTCTACCTTCGCTAGCTTTTTTGATGATTTCAACATTGCTTTCGTATTCTTCAGCGGCCTCTACTGCGTTGATGCAATCTTTAGTCATTTGGATTAGTGATCCAATTAAACGGTTTGTTATCTCTTCTTGATTAAACCAGTTTTCGGGAAGATCAAGAGTTTTCACCACTTCTTCAGCGATTTTTTCAGAAACTTCAGGTTGATTTCTGCGTGCCCGTCCTTTAACTTCATTCAGCAATGCTTGGGCCTTAGTCAGATTTTGCTTATCAGCAGCCTTCCTTTCCGGCAGGAATGTTTTACTGTGTGGAACAGGAGGCAGGTGTTTACGCTTACTGCGCTCTTCGGTGTACTGGAGGACAACTTTAAAGACATCGTTTATTTCTCCTCTGTCTGCCCCTTTGCAGCACTCTCTTAGCTCATTTATTCCTAACTGTGAAAGCTTGTGTAGGGAGGGTGCTTTTTTACAAAGATTCTTCACCCATTCCTTTAATACATCAATTCCTTTAGCTTCAAGCCTGCAGAGCACTTTAAGATATGGCCCAAGCCGTCTACTAACATTCACTGTGCCGGCTTTTCGCGGCTCTTCTTGTTCATCAGAAGTTTCGTTGAGATACTTTGCAAGTTTTTTTAACATTCGTTAGATGATTTAGCACAAGATTCAGTGCTTCCTCTTGCAATAACTCACTTTCCTCCAGAATTTGCGTTAGATCGTCCGTTAATCCCTGGTGAGCAACAGCTTTTAGCTCTTTAAAAAGATTGTCTTTTTCCATCGGATCCCCCATAGACGATATCTGGTCATTTAGCTGCCGAATCTTCCCCTGACATTCACGCATAGAATTGTTGTTTTGAATGTCAGCTCTCTCGCGTCCTATTTTGCGTATTTTGATTTTCCTTTTCTGCAAACAAAAGACAAGGATTGGCACAATGAGCTCCCTTTTTGTCCTAAATACGACGAAAAACGCGACGCAGATTACGAGTCTCGCTGCTTACGCCAGCGAGACTAATAATATCATCAAACTAGTAAGGAAACATACTGCATAAATATAGCTTGTTGCCAGTTAGAGCACAAACCCGTCAAGGGACAGTAATTATTTGGTTCTCACCAGCTTTTTTTATGGAGAAGAGGGTTACTTAACGAGGATCATTTTACGTTTCTGGGAAACTGCCAACCTACCCATCCCCTAAGCCAAAATCAACACTCACCTCTCACTTAGGGCAAAATGTTGGCTTAGGGGAGGGGTAGGTGGGCAGTTTCCCGTGAGGAAGCAAAAAAAAAGTTTGCGTACGCATGCTCTAGTTGACACGTGCAGCTCAGACTTGCTCGACATATAGACGTGCCTGTCCGGGTGGCCATGTGATTTACCTCCAAAGTGCGCGGAGTGTTTGAAATGTAACCTTTCACCCTTGCCCACATGAAGTGTTGGATGACGTACGTACGAACGATTTTGTCCGAACCAAAATTTCTTGGATGCATAGATCACCGGATTTTCTTACCCGTTGTGCTCCGCTGCGCGCGCGAATCGAGAACTCCGCTATAATTGGTCCATTATGACAGTTTACACTTATACTTAAGTTTATCACTTGCATTTTGGCTCCGCAGAGTAAAACAATCATAGAGACCGTGTGGAACCCTCATACACCCCGTTAATTATTTTAACTTTTGACACGAGAATGATTTTTCTAGTAGTAGGCGGGGTAGTCCAGTAGAAAAATTTTAAAAATAATAATCGAAAAACGCATGACTATATTAGCGCTAAATTTATAAACTTACCAGTTTATCAACAAGAGTTCGCTTTTCTTTCGAGGGTCTCAAAGCATGAATCCGATCATGAAGCTGCTGAATCCGTTCTTCGACGTTGGTGGAAAGGTCGTCTGGTAATTCGGAAATTTCGCGTCATATTTTGCTTATGTTCATCTTCCAGTGCTGTAAATAAATTAAAAATATATTATTATTCATAAAAGCATTTCTCCGTTTCTGATTGGTTTAGATCACAAGTATAATTCATCATAACCAGCTACTGCTGACTAAATTTGGAAGAATTTTGCCCTACTGAACCGATGACGTCAAAAGTGCAGCAAAGCTGAAGATCATTGAACCGTTAACTGAGAGGACCTGGGGACAAGATTTAGTTGTTTTGGTGGGAAAAACAAAATGGCTGAACGTTTCACTCGTTTCACCATGAAGGATAGGCGAACCAATGACTAAGAACGTAGGAAGAACAGCAAAAGGACAACTCGAAGGACAACATCTGCTATTCGGAGAATATTTGCGGAGCTGAACATTATTTATCTCCTAAACTTGCCGATTAACGTGAACTATCCAAGATGAACTTAACATTGATAGAGGTAGGCACGTTTTAGGTTGGTTCTAAACCAGGAATTATTTTGAATGAATAATAAGGCATAAAACACCCTCCTCGAAATGCATAATTCTTCATTTCCAACGAGAGCCAAATTCAATAATAATTTATATACTATTATACACACTCAGTGCTCTTGGTGATTCAAGCAATCTGATTGGCTCGCTATCTCGGACTATGATATTATATTTATATAGGCGGCGAATATAAAGCAAAAAAAACAAAAAAAGCTCTGTAGTGAACTGGGTGTTTTGCCCAAGTTTCAGAGTAAGAACTTTTTGAAAATACAACAATATCGCAGTGTTGATGATTCTGGGAAAAGAGGAATTCCATTTTCTCGTGCACTGTCCAAAGTATTCAATCCCAAAGGAAAAATTCTTCAATCAAATCCAACATAATTTTGGCAAGCTTAATGAGCTATCTTGCACAGAATTAATAATTAAACTGAAGAATCTACAGAATTTTTCTTTAAATTCACCTGACACCTGTTTGAGACTGAAATTCTTAAATCGACAGGATCGACTTCGTCTAAGGGATTATTCAACATTGGCTGCTTGCATTGTATTATTGTCTGATTCTCACTATTCGTATAGGTAATAGTATGATTTGTAGTGATATTTGGCATAAATACCACTCGCGATATTTCGAAATTGTTATACGTTTTTCACGTGGCGAAAATTTTTAGACAATTTTGAAATATCACCAGTGGTATTTATGCCAAATATCACGACCCGCAAAAAAGGTTGTAATTTTCACTTGCAGGTATTTCAAATTGGCTGAAATATAACTGCTCTAAGCCAATCAAATTGTTGAAATTTCTCATGTAGGAGTATAATCTGGTTTATTTCAGCGGGTTAAAATACATTTTATTTTTTTGATTTTCAGTTTTGGTATAGGGAATAGCATGATTTGTAGTGATAATTGGCATTAATACCACGAGTAATGTTTTGAAATTTGAGACAATTTTGAAATATCACGAGTGGTATTTGTGCCAAATATCACGCCCAAATTATGCTTTTATGGTTTATACTACTACCCGCAAAAGTTTTGTAATTTTCACTTGTAGGTGTCTCAAATTAAGCTGCAATACCACTACTCTAAGCCAATCAAATTGCAGAAATTTCTCGTGTAGTAGTACAAACTGGTTTATTTCAGCGGGCTAAAATACATTTTAGACCACCAATTGCACCGCAATTCCTAGCCTGCGGGAAGTAGAAGCTTTTTTAGCTTTTGTTACACCTGCCGAGAAAATAGCTATTTCTTTGCGGATGAAACAAGAGCCGAAAAAGCGTCTGCTCCCCGCAGGCTACACAATGCTCTACAAAGTGATAACAATCGATATTTATTTATTATTTTATTTATTATCTATTTGCTGTTTTTTAGAAGTTTTGCTGCGCATAAACACACGTTCATTCACATGGTTGACAAGTAGAACTTAAAGAATGGAGGTTGATGGCAAAACTGAAAGGTTACCTGGCTATTGAAAGGGCTATCCTAGAGCCCTAGTTAAAACTTGGGGATGGAACACATAAGAATCCCCACAAAGTGACTCTTGGTTGGGACCACAGGTACCCGCACCCGCAAGGTAACCCTGCCTGTCCTAAGTGGATTGCCCAGTCTGCTCAGGACAGAGTAACCCTGTTAGCCGGGCTGAAATTTTGCAAAACTAGCCAATAGCGCAACTTATGCTTGCGGTGCTGTTTTTTTTTTTTAGGAAAATAGATAGATAACAATTATGCTCGTAATGACGAATTATGCCAAAAATTATGCTAGCACAATCTATTAAAGCTTCGGTCCCTCACCTCCATGTAAACACGCCCCAAACCTCTGCCCCCAAGGTGGAAGTTGAGAAGAGGCTCGAAGTTATAAGTTTTTTACAGTTTTTTTGATTACATAAACGATTTTAACCTTTTTGTAGGTTGAATGTCTGAGACTGGATTACCAGCCTCCCCTAGACAAGACTAGGAATAGGTCGGGACTGACTTGGTATCC